TTGTATGCTGTATGTGTGTGCTATGCGTGGAAGTTGTAAGTAAGAACGTATATTTATATTTACATATGCACTTGTGCTTGAAAGCTGATTAGCCTAAACTGAAGTCAACGGAACTGTATATACATATTTGTATGAGTTCGGTGCGCATGAGTGGAAGGTATTGTTGTTCTGTGAACGGCATGTCCCAATCGATGCAAACGGCTGTGATTGGCAGTAAATGCAGCAGTCGGATAACAGATTACACACAAATAAACGTGTACACGAACGCTTCTATTCTAAACATGTACGCAGGACATATCTGCAAGCATACATGCCCACACATATAAATCTACCCACGACCTATATAACCAGGTCTTTGCTGCAAGTATACACATCCACCTACATCTTTTTTTGTCATACATCTACCTACATACTTTTATGTCATACATCTATCTACCTACATACTTCTTTTGAGCCTCCAAGCCCAAATATGACAGCGGCTGCCGCCTACCACTGAGCTGCGCACACACATTCCGCCGGACCAGTTCAACGGCATCTGTGGCACTCCGAGGACCTGCATGCTCCAGTGCCACTGTTGAGACATAGTAATCGCATAAGGCAATGAGTGTCCGCGGCACTTGTGTGTCGGATTGGGGTGGTTGTGGATATAAGATACCCCTACATAGTTCAGTGTAGTTGGAGTTTGGGGTAGTATGTGTTTGATAAGAACGCCGACTATCGTCCTTTCTCTAGTCCAAGCTTCAATACGTTTTGGCTGGGTAGGGTATGATGATAGTAGATGATTGATTAATCATCGCTTTTACTACATACAGTGAAATTATTTGTAGGACTCGGTATGAATACGACATACTATAGGCGAGCAATGTCCCTCATGACTGGGTATATGACGACTGGAGATATTTAATTATCCTATTTACTACTTACAGCGGGATTCTTGATAGGGCTATATATACGATATACTACAAGCGAGCAATGTCGTTCTGGTCTACAGACGGGTGTTGTGATTTTTTCCTACCTCTAGTTCATTCTTCTACGACTCGGCATAATAATAGCAGATACTTCATTATCATGTTGTTTCATACTTACAGTGTGATGCTCGGTAAGACTGTGTGGATACGATATACTACAAGCGCTTCGACGGACAGGTACCACACTAAGGCATATATTGCATCGGAACAACCTTTCCACGTAGCGTAAGCTCATGTCACGTATCTGCATACACAACCAAGACATGCGCGCCACATCTTACGAAAATTTTACAAAAACAGAAACACTTACTGATATCATCCTATCGAATACTACCAACAAGAACACTTCTCATCTTGATGAATACTTTTGGTATCGCTTGGGCCAACTGGCGTAAACAAAGCTGCTTGCGCCACCCAAACGTCGACGGATATCACACCAGTCTATACATAGTATACTGTATGTGGATTGTGAACTCTTCATCTCTATAACATAGCTCGAAAATATCGCGTCTAGTTACAGCCAGCTGGTTGTTTGCATGCAGGGCGAATCCCCAGATATGATTCTAGGTCTACTATACAGCACATACATTGAGAAAGAACATTTTGTTACAGCGAGGTATCGCGAATATAACGATATTGAATAAGAATACCAGCACTCGGAATACACTTACCAGTCATGATACCGTCGACTAAGCACAATCACCAAACAGCAAAGTGTATGGTCTCATAGACACAACGGATGAATCAGATAGTCTTGTTACTTAATCCACTTTACCAGGCATATCTGTAGACACGAATGACACCCATGTAATGCATGGAGCTGAAAGACTAAAGAGTGATGGAGAAGAGCAGAACTAATATGTATATATATATATATAAATGCATATATGCAGTAAATTGTAGCACATATTCCCAGAAAGCGAAGCCACCACGACATACTTTTAAATAAATACATAAACGACAATAAATACATACATATGTCATCAATATTTTATCTTTGGCGCCAAAGGTATGCCACAGACAGTACCGAACTTTATAGTCCTGTTAAATCACTGATCAGTATGGTAGTAGATTTTTGCTCATATCAGAATGCTACGATAGCGGCCAATCATAGTTTAGAAGATCAATTTATATTGGCCAATAATCCAAAATATAGAGTAATGCTATTTTGCTTTACAGTGTTCTCAAATCAGGAGTACATTTACTCGTGTTACGTGTCGGTGTACATACATAGTCTGAGGGCTGTTCTATGATATAGGACATATGCAAGCTGTTTACTTGTAGCTACATTTATAGACAACTGAACTCACGCTTTCAATCCAATACTCAACATACGCTGAGTTTTGTCTAGCCTGTTTGTTTTCCAGGCGGAATACATACGGGAATTGTCACTGCCATCACGGAGTTTGGACGGCGTCTAGTAGCCGAACCTACCTAATTACAGTATATCTTTGCACCGCATACGAATTCAGAGAACTCGGGCGACTGGTTCTGTGAGTTCTGCAGCGATTTGAAATTCAGTCGTGTACTCATTGTAAATCGACCCTATTTCCACGCACACGTTTATTACGCGAATTTTGACTTAGACGCAATGACGGCTGTCGAAGCAATACGTGTGGCCTTCGCACTAGCTCAGGTATACCACATTACGAATGCCAATCAAGCAATTGATATGCCTGCGTATACTGTAATTGCCAATGCGAGCGTGTACACAGTAGATAGCACGAACCTCTGGGTGAATGCATTTGCATACGACACCTCGGGCGTGATCATAGCTGTGGGCACTGACGAGGAAGTGAGTACGCGTGTGCAAGAGATGGCGACGGTTGATGGAGGTGATGTTGTTACAATAGACGCTGAGGGGAAATATATTATGCCAGGTGAGACCAGGGGGCAGGAGTGTATGCAGATATTATATATTACTACTTCGTCAAGCTGTATAATATGAGTTTGTTAGCCGCTTTCTCGCGCATTGCATTGAATATACCCTTGGGGCTGATGATTAGCGGAGTGATTGTCAGGTATGTGGCCAAAAATGTACATAGACCTAACCATTTGAAGGTAGTGTGAAGGTTAAGTTATAGATACTTAGTATATAAAGTACCATGATACAATGGTAGGTCCCCTGCTCGGAGATCCAAGAGCACCACCCTCGCCTTATTTTATGTCTTGTATAAGAATACATCTCTCTATATTCTCTGAGACCTTCTACACTAACGTTTCTCAATGTAAAATAGCATATCTTTATATTCTCTTATTGTCTTTCGCAATGAATAACATCTCTGGTGGTATGCTTCAAGCTTTCATCTGTGGCCATTTTTGCGTAATAGACCCGAGTATAACCGACCGTGGGGCTGATGATAGGGGGCGATTGTCAGTAGTCTTGCATTTGCGATACAGAATTACATCTCTCAACATCTTCGTGGGGAAATCAAATCTTCTAACTCCCACTCCGTGCACGAGTATATAACCGTGCAACCTCTGTTCTTCGATCTAATCAAATCTCGCTGTAACAGGTTTCCAGGATACACATGTGCATGTTATAGAAGGCGGGCTGTCAGAATTAGGCGTATATTGCCTTATGGAGCCAGATCAGTCAACCGAGCAATATATCGCTGCCCTGCTTGAGTGTTCCGAAAATCAAACTGGTACGTTTAGAGTAACATTCGAGAGAACATATTCGTATCAGCGTATAGTATTGGGAAGATGACACCTGAGTGATTATATACA